AATGGGTATAATAGTTATTATATTTTACACAATTATTATCAAGATGATAATGTGATAACAGGGTCAAGTGCGCAGCCCTGGCCTGGTACAAAATGGGCATTCGGGCATGTTGCTTCCCCTTAATGAGTGTTTTCCAGCACATGGCACCTACATGCGTGATGAGGTGGCATAAAGCTGCCCTATTCATTCACAGATGCAGCTGAGACCTTGGCAGGTATGTGAGAACCCAATGGTGGACTGAGTTATAACCTTGACTGCGGGGTACCGTGAGCTCGCTCACAGTGGTAACCATCTTGTCTTTGTTGGGCTCCAGAAGCAGTTTGCTCAAAGGGTAGTGTCTTTCCCTGGTGGTGAGGGTTGATAAGTAAGTTATCCATTACTTCAGCTCTCTGCGCTATGATATATAAGCTACCAAGTTTCAGGTAAGTTGAAATTTGCAGGTGACTAGAACCAATCTTTTATCAAGTTCTCATGATCTAATTTAGGCTCAGATTGATACAATACTTTGGGAAGAATGGGGGAAGTGTTTCATAGTAGGATCTGGTTGAATTCTGACTTATTTGGGAGGAGGTTCCAGGTATCCCCAAATCTTCAGAGGAGCTTCAAATGCCTAAAAAGAAAACCCAAAATAGAACCCTTTCATATTAAGGGTCTCCTCCAAACCAGAAAAAGAATACCCCAAAGTATTAGAAGATCTTACCAGCTTGGCCAAATCTAGTTTGAACTGGTCTAGAGTAACTTGGGAAGTCACCAGGGAGAGATCCCTGAGTCTCACTCTACCCAAGTAAACAAGGAGGAGTCAGGTTGTCACCCTCAGTCCAGGGTTGTGGTGAACAGCCCCGTAGAGTCTACAGAAGGCCACTCTGAGGCTCCGGGGCCACAGATGGCCAGAGAGAGTGACCAACTTGAGGCACATGGTGAGCCTCCCACTCTTTACTCCTCAGGAAAAAGACAGCTTTGTGAGTCCTGACTTCTTTCCCTGCTGCCCTTTCCCTGGGGAACAGAAAATGCCCAGGCCCCAGGGGCCAGCAGGGGGCCATTCAAAGTTCCCCAAATCCTCTCTACTCAGTATCTGTAACCCCATTCTCCACACCCTCTCCACTTTAGTTTCAGAGGCCAATTCTTCCTTCTCTGCTCTTTAAAATCAGAAGTATTTTCTCAGTGCAAAAGCAATATACTAACGTTCTAGGAACGCCAAATCATAAGGAAATGTAAACAGTAGAAATTTCCCGTAATGTGACTCACCCCTCTCCCCAAGATAATCTAAAGTTAGCAGTTTAAATATACTTCCAGAACTTTTCTTCTGCATATCTGTATATATCCATACATATGTAATTAGTAGAGTATAAATACAAATATGTGTCTTCTATTGTAAAAATGTCATTCTAAAGCACATACTGTTCTCAATATACTTTTTCATCTTGTATACAGTAAGTGTTCAATAATATTTATTGTAGGATGAACCACAATTTATTTATTCAGTCCCCTTCTAGAGTACTTTTGAGTTGTGTCCAAACGCCCTTCCAAGAAACATAATTATATACATATAAAAGACATAATTGAAATGCATATATACAATACATATAGAAACATAAAGCATAGCTGCATATAATAAATATATACTTAAATATACTAATAAACCACTCATGTTGTGGAGAAATGTTTCAGGTGTCCTCTGGTGTATTTCATGGATATCCCTGGAATATATGTTGATAAATTAGCCTCAAAAAGAAAACTTTAAGCCAAGTGTTTTAGGACCTGTGGGAATAAAGGGTGACTATCCCACATTGGTCCCTAGTGTTTTTATATTGACTTTAAGTCCTTGGCAGGACAACATGACTATAATAAGAACTAGAATCCAATAGTGATGACAAAGGGCCACAATTAATTTTGGAGAAAACAGAAAAATAATCTGCTTCAAATTCTTTTTAGACTAGGAAGGAAAGAATGATTGGGGGAGGGAAGAAAAAAGGAAGAAAAGAAAAAGAGAAGAAGACTCGTGCGTTCTCCTCATGGTGATTTGCACTCTTCTTGTCTGACTCTACAGTGTAATAATTGTAGGTCTTTTAAAGGACATGATATTTTGACAGATTTCCCTTCCTAACTTCCCTTCCTGGGGCTGAACATGAGCATGCAACGATTTCCTTTCTGCCACCAGGCTGGAGGCTGGCCCCTCCTGGATTAGTCCTCAGAAGCCTAGAATCCCCCACGCCCAGAATGAGAGTGTCCACCGCATTTTTGTGGCAGCAGCGTGTGACGGGTGGTGGGAGGTGGGCGCTGCTGCACATTGAGGGCAGTGGCCCAGGACAGCCACGGGCAGCAGCCGGGCCCTCACCAGGGGCTGGGGACGGTCACACAGGTCCCCAGATGAAGACACTGACTGTCATGGTGGCTGCACCAGGGACAGGAAGCCCAGGCCTGTGGTCCCCACAGTGAAAAGGGGCCTTTGTGGCTTTCCCTTCTTTACCAAAAAAAAAAAAAGAAAGTGCTTAAATGGGGCCTTTCAGCTCTGTGAATACAAACCCAGGCCTGGTGGACTAGGGAGACAATTAGGCCAGACACTGGGCGCATGAAGCCAAAAGGGGGCAGAAACCCAGACAATGATGCTGAAGGTTGGGGTGGGGTGGAGGGGGAGCGGATATGACAGCAAGGAAGGAGTTTCAATGTGAATGAATACTAATTAGTGACATGGATATTAATGATGACAGTAATTAACAGGGGAAAGGAAGGGCTGTCATTGTCCCAGGGTGAGTAATCAATCTTGGCAGGTGATAAATAATGGTTCAGCCAGCTCAGCAGAAAGATAATCCGCCTGCCCGGGGGAGAGCTGTTGCTGATGCTGGAAACCTCTCCGTTTCTAGGCAACCCACAAAAAAGAACTATTTTTCTTTTGAGGAAAAAACAGGTTAGAGTCTCTCCCCCACCCCCAACTTGGGATTACAGTTCTTATTTGATTTCTGCTTTGTTCTTCATTTCCTAGGACAAATGTTGAACTTGTATAATTTGGAGGAAATGTAAGCACGCTCACAAGTACACACAGACCTACTCTCCCCCTTCTCTCAAAGAATGTGAATGAATAGGAGTGTTTCGGATCTAAAGTTTAGCTCATAGATGCCAGCCCAGAGCACCAGTGGAAAAAAGCTTAGAAGTCTTGCTTTGGAGGTTGAAATGGGTGGGGGGAGGGGAGGACACTTGCAAAACCATGTCAGTGGTGGCTGGTCTTGTGGGGAGCACACACAGAGTCGGATGGGGCCCAGGTAGGTAACTGTGTAGGTTTCACTGACCTTCCAGAAAGCCAGAGAGAAACAAAATATCTAGGCACTCAGGCTTACACTGGTCTCGCTTCGGGCAACCAGTCAAATTTCTGAGAAACTTTAATTCTGGGGAAAAGGGCAATAGTTGAAACCTTGTGCAGCTCTCCAGTCTTTCAGCTGGGAAGCTCCCCCCAGGAAAGCGATTGGCAGTCCCTTTGCTGCCCATCAAGCCTCAGGTGCACGGCAAGACTCGGATATCTAGAAATATTGCCCTTTCGGGCTGTTTTCCATCACACATCCCATCCTGAAGTGACAAAGCTGCCTTCAGAGGTCTGCACTGGTTTAACAAAGATGGATTGATTCAAAGTTCAGAATCGTCCCGGAAATTGGACTCCTTTACTCCCATGTGAACCGTGCTGCCCTAAGAACATGGGTTCTAGGTGCCACATTTTTAAAGAGAGGAAAATAAAAGGGAACATCTTCAGAGAATTGTGGCCAAAATGGTGAAGGACTCCAGGGCATGTCATGCAAGGAAACAGCTGAGGGATCCAGGCATGTTTCATCTGGAAGGGGGGAAACTCAAGGAGACGTTAATGGTGTGTTAGACAGACTGCCTCACAGAGCAAGAAGGTCTGCGTTTGTTTTTCTATCATCAGAGGACAAAACTAAGGCCAAAGAGAGGAGGTCAGAGAGAGTGGAGTTTCTGCTCGGAGAAATCACAGACAGTGTAACTGGAGCAGTCTGGCTAGGGGACAATTTGTGAGTTCCTAGGTACGAGGGTTTTTCTAAATGGAGATTACGGCACCTCTTCTCCAGGGTATTGTGGATTGGGCTCATGTATTGTCTGGGGTTGGAGTAAATGAGCTTTAAAAGTCCCTTCTGACTCTTAAAATGTTTAATTAGTTAAGATAATACTAGATGACAAAACAGGTAAGCCCCTTAACAAGACAAAATTTTAATCCCATCAGAGCCCAAAGTGGGCATCAGTTTTCATGGTTGTTCAGCAGCCCAGGCTCCCTCTACATTGTGACTCTGCCCTCCCTGGGCCCTTGAAGTCCCCTCCCTGCAGCCAGCAGATGGGGAATGAAATGTGTGGCGCTATGGAGGGCCACGAGGGGATTTTTATGGTCCAGGTCTAGAAGCGGCATACATCACGTCCACTCACATCCCACTGTCACAACTCACTGCACACCAAACTACAGGCGAGTCTGGAAACGTTATCTAGCCATGGCCCAGAGACCAGGTGAACACATAGAAGTTTCTCCCACAGACACAGGGGTACTGTCTTTCAGGGTTGGCCCACGCCAGAAGAAATGAGAGATTTATTTGCAGGACCCTGTGAGGTCACCTGTGTTGGTCAGCCCTTGTCAATCAGGGTAGGGAGCTGAGGAGCCTCTCTCCCCACAGGAAATGGTGTGGGAGCCAGGAGTGATAAAACTTCACCAGCCTGATTGGGGAAGTCATCAAAATCTGTATTCACAGCAAGTCCCCTACAGAGGTTCCCCAGAAATGTGGACACAAGTTCATTCTGAGACATTGGAAGTAGATGTTTTTTGGAAAAATGGGATTGTGACTATGGAAGTGCACTGATGGGTGGAAAGAGTTGGTTAGGATGGAAAAATCAATAGTACCCAGCTCTCCAGGTGTGTGCTAATTAGAATTAGGCGTCTCTTAGGTAAACATGTTTCTTCTACCACAGGGTTTAACACCCATGAAGTCTTCAGTTGAATTGCTTTATCATTGCAGGTACTGACATTGTGCAGTGGCTTATGAAGAACCTTTCCATCGAGGACCCAGGTATTTGACCCTTGACCCTTGACCCTGACTTGACCCCCCGTGGTATCAGTAAACACCCGATAACCAAGTTCCAGACTCGATTCTTCTACCTTCCTGAGAACTGGGCTTCTACATGTGAATTCCAAAATGTGGAATCACTCTACTTACAAATGAAATTAATTTATTTTCTCCACTGAACACCTATCTTTAAATTTAAATCACCCTTTGAGAAAATGAGCAACCATTTAGAATGCCGAAGAGCCCAATACAATAATGTGTGAAATGAGATGAATTCTCGTTAGCCACAGCAATTAAAGATAAGTTGTAGTGCTGTCACTAAACAGCCTTCTAGAGCCTGCTCTTAAAATCAGATTGCCTGATCCATAATTAAGATGTTTAATTATTTGCTAAGTTGCCTTCTGTTTTCTGCTTCTGCAAGAAGTGAAGGAATGATTTTTTTTTTCAACTTTATTTGTGCATTTCAATTAGGAAAACCTTACCAGAAAACAACAACAAAACCCTGGCCAATAAAACAATTTCCAAATCTGTCCTCCCACCAGAAAATAAGCAGTAAAATTTATTTCACAGCATGATTAGAAAATGGGGCATTCCAGAAAAATGAAAATTCTAGATAAGTGTGGTTTATGATCCATGTGTTGTAGGTTAATACTTGAATGAATTTATTATGAACTCCGTATCTTAACTGATATTCTTGATGCCTGTATGTTGTATTTATAAATATCCACAAATGTATTCTGATGTTCTTAGGGTTGGGACCCATTTGCCCCAAATTAAATGGCTTCCAATTGCCATGCTTTTTAAAGGTTTTTTTCAAGTACCCTTTCTAGGTACCTGACCTTCAGCTATGATTTCTTGCTGGAGTCAGTATGTCAGCTCAGGCATTCCTGTATTTTATTTAATCTGATGCTCCTAATATACTATTGACTATGAAACAATACGATTTATATAGTGTTTGATTAAATATAGTTGCCAGAAACCTGAGTGCCAGAAAAGCAGGTCATTAATAGAAGTGACACTAGCCTGTTTTCACCACCTTGATTAATGGCCACTCTCATGACAAGTGAAAATTCGTAATTCTGGTCCAGTTCTTAATCCACAGGGGAAAACTGTATGTGCTAATCTTTCAAGGAAAGAACCCAAACCAGCTAGCCTACGTGTTTCCCTTAAGCAGCCTGGACTTCAGATTCTTCACTTGTAAAAATGAAACTGAATGAGTCTCTGCCAGTTTAGTCACATGTATTTAAAGTCAACAGTGTATTTAAAGTGTTTTGATGATGATGCTAAACTGAGAAACACCTTTCTTCGTGGTGGTCCTTTCTCCTTTAAGAGCACTGTTTTCGTCACCCTTCTAAAATAATCATTGTATTATAGACATATATCTTATTATTATTGATAGTAGTAGTAGTCAGTAGTATTCTGAGCGTATTCTCAGAGTATTCTGAGAACCCCAAACCAGCTGCTGGTAGAAGAATAGGTTCAGGCATCTTCTGACCCTCGTCTGAGAAGCTTCTATGAAAGGTCCAGCACCATGAGCATCATGTCTGTGAAGGTCTGTTATACTCCAGTGCCCTTGGGAGGACATCCAGGTGTGGGAACTGTCTGAGCCTCTGAGAAATGGTTGAGCAGGAGATGTTAAGAACAATTCACCAGCTGGGAATAGGAGGGCAGAAATGAAGCAAACCAACGCCCTGGGAAGCCAGGCATGTCTAACTTCCTCTCCGCCCTCCCTTCCTTCTTCCCATCTGCCACATTTCTAAGCAAAATCCCTTTTGCTCAAAGAATGAAGTGAGAGTTCCAGCTCCTAGATTGGTGACATGAAAGTCACCTTCTTACTGGATTTTGTTCTTGCCTTCCTGGTAAAGGAGCAGCTGCAGTTGATGAAATGTCCCCTTTTTTGCGGACCCATGATTCTTGCAGCATGTTGACTTTAAAAAGCAAACTAGCCATCACAAAGCAAGTAAAATAAAACTCCATTTATATTGATTCCACCAGTTACAAGTATATGTCTCTTCTAAAGGGGAATAGGTGGATCTAAGTAAAGAAAATGCTTGGATTCTATACAACCTCTTGAAAAGTTTGCAAGTAAAGCCCAAAGAAGTCACTTGAAAAAACTCAACACTTATGAAATTAGTAATTCCTAGAGACTCCTGTCCATGTCAATAATTTCCATGTCCAAAAATTAGTTTTTTACCAGGAAGAGCATCTTTATATTTGTGAAAGATTATCATGTGTGGTAGAACAGTTTAAATTTATTAATTTTTTTTCTTAGCTCTGCTCAGAATAAAGATAAATTTTTAATGATTTGTATGAACCTATTTATGATTGATGCTAAAGTAACAAAACTACAGGTTAATTGTGGTAAATATATATATTTTATCAGATTGGCCTCTCTATACCACTTCCCACTACACTGCTCACCACAAAAGTGATGTTTTGCTTTCTGTCATAAAAGAAGGGTAATGCCCACCTCATCGCTGGTGGGGTATCATAGCGGGGAATGCAGTAGGAGTCCAAAGTCTCTGTAGGCGGTAAGGCTGGATACTCATTGCTGAGGATGATAAGAAATGATGGAAATATAAATCAGGGCTGCCAGCGCTTACTGAGCAGTTACCCTGCACCAGCCACTGTGAAGGACTTCACGTGAAATATGTCCATTAAGTACAAGTTTATCTACACCAACACTCATGCTCTTAACCATGGAGCTAGTCATTTTTTGGAAGTCTTGGGATGTGGAGAGGTTAAAACAATGTCTGACTCTAAGAGCTGGGATCCAGAGGCATCCCAGACACATGGCAATCCTTCCCCACCATTGACATCACCCCAGCCTCATGCAATCATATGAAGTTATCACTCAGTCAGTCAATCATGGAGTTACTGGGGGTGATGACGGTTGACTTCCGGTTGCCTTTCTGTTCTCACAAGCTTATATTTCAGCTAAGTAGCCCTGCATTCTGACAGCTTCCTAATTACTTCTCTCTCTGATGCCTCACTCCTGCAGTTGAAGCAATCCACTTGGGAAGCCTTATAGCCGCCCAGGGCTACGTCTTTCCCATCTCGGACCATGTTCTCGCCATGAAGGATGATGGCACCTTTTATCGTTTCCAGGTAGGCCTGCCAGCTTCTCTTCCTAAAGAACCTTTTCTTTTCATCATCATCTGATCTCAGATTAGAACCACATTAAAAATACAAACAAACAAAAACTGAGGGTATTTAAGGGAGCAGCCCTTATCTCTCACCAGCACTGGAAAAACCAAGAAAACGTTTGTCTGGGCTATTCCACCTAAATTATACTAAAAAGCCCTCATGGAGAACCTACTACTTGTTGGGCATTTTACACGTTTCCTCATTTATTCTGAAGAACAAACATTTGGGAGGCAAATATCACCCATTTTACCAATGGGAAAACTGAGGTGCTCAGAGAATTAAGGGGGCACTTAGTAAATCTAGGAGACAGCCTTGGTTTGAACCTAGGTCAGCCTGATAGCAAAGTCCTGGAACTTCTACTGTATCATGCCACCTTCCTGGTGCGAAGTTCCTATTCACCACCTACTAACCCTTCCCATACATTTTCCACTTATTTTCTCAAATCCTGTCCTAGATCTGGTCTGGGGCAGAGGAAAAGGGGTTGTGTCAAGGTCAAAACCAAAGGGTTTGGGAGAAGAGTGCTTCAGACACGGTGCAAGGGTATCTTAGTCTGCTCGGACTGCTGTAACAAAATACCACAGACTGAGTGGCTTAAACCACATGTATTTATTTCTCACACTTCTGGAGGCAGGAAGTCCAAGGTCAGGGTTCCAGTAGGGTTTGGTTTATGGTGAGCAAGCTCATCCTGGCTTTCAGATAGCCACTTCTTACTGTGTTTTCACATCGGTGTCTCCTCTTACAAGGGCACTATGGGATCAGGGCCCCACCCTAATGGCCTCGTTTAACCTTAATTACTTCCTAACTCCAAATGCAGTCACACTGGGGGTTAGGGCTTCATCATATGATTTGATGGATGGCAGGGAGACACAATTCAGCCCGTAGCAAAAGGATAAAATGAACTTGGGGCTTGTGTGCCCAGTAAACTGTCCAAGTTGACTTTTGTAGTTTGGCTTCCATTATTATATCTCAGGATAAGAAATTTTTATCCTATAAACTAAGTTTCTCATTTTTGCATTTATTTTGCCTACCTGAATTCATTTCTCAACACCTAGAATAAAATGTTGAGTGGCCTACTCTGTGTTAAGAACAGGAGAGAGGTAGGCTGTGGTGTCAGCATGAAGGATATGGGGACAAAGCCTGTCCTACGGAGGGGTCCTCACTGTGGGCAGGAGAGGGCTGACCCTGGCCCCCAGACCCAGGAGGGCAAGAGCTAGCATGTCTCTGAGTCCTGACACCTCTGCTCTTTTACAGGCTCCGTACTTCTGGCCTTCGAACTGCTGGGAGCCTGAAAACACCGACTATGGTGAGCAGTGAAACCACAGAACACACTGAGTGTTACTCCTGGGAGTAAGAAAACCAATGCTTGGTGTCTGGTGACCAGGGTGCACGGGCTGGCTGGAGGGGCTTTATCCTGCCTCGCCCTTCCTCATACTGTTGACACGTATTAATCCTGTTCCACGTAATGAAGAAAGGCAGAACACACTGAAAGATGCAGCCATTGGAAGGGAGTGGGGGAGGAAGAAAAGTCTATCAAGAGTGGCCTATATGGCCGGTATGTTAGGTTGTGGAGAAGTAAGATCCTGCAGTAACGCTGTAGGACAGTGGCTAACGACTGTTCCTCGGGGGCCAGGTTTAAGGAGCCACCTCCCCCTGACCCTTTCTGTTCTCACAGACTTGTTAAGACCTAGTAATATTGTCTTAGTATTTTTGATAGTTGGAAGTTAGGGTAAAATGGAGATAAACCAGAGAAATAGAAGTTACCCTGGACTGGGAAAATAAAGAGTGGGTGAAGGAGGGAGCTGGGTACACAGGGAGTTACCTCTATAAAGGCAGGGCTCTGTTAGTCTCTTGTCATATACTCTCTGTAGAGACTGCTTAATATTTCTGTGTGCTAATTGTCCAAAGAAGTTATATTGTCCCTCTCCTTCAGATAAAGAACCTGAGGCCCAGAGAGGCCACTTCCTCATGCCGATCACACTGTGTTCTACTTGTCTAGAAGCTCCATGAGGCGGGGGGCGGGTCCACCTTATTCATTCTCATATCCCCCAGTGCGTGGGACATGCCTGAGGCATAGCTGGCGCTGAGCATATGTTTGCTGATGGTTCTGGTTCTTTACTAAAGAGGATTATCAGACACTCAGTAGAGGCACAGAATTTGAACTCAGATCTTAGTGGCTCCAAGGCCCATGCACCTTTCATGGTCCCATGCATGGCATCATCGCAGTAGCTAGCACCTGCCACTTTACACAGCCTCCTCATCACTGACTTAGCTGCTAGGGCAGTCCCCAGTGGCCCTTCTTAGCACTGGGACACTCGATGAGACCTGCAGCTTCTCCCAAGGCTCTTTACAGGGTTGTTAGCACAGGATGACAGAGGCAGCTGGAGCTGAGTGGTGTTCCCAGGAGCCTGTCCCGGAGACCTGTGTGATAAGCTACACACTTTGGATCACATGTTTGAGGGAGGGGTAACCAGCAATTGAAAGCAGTCCTAAGGATGGAATGTGGACAAGTCATTGCCTAATAAGGTCCTTGGTGTCTTGTTTGGAAAACGGCCCTTCTATAGAGGGCAGGCCCCTCTGCTGGTCTCATCAGCTGTCAGCGGGCACCACTGTGAGGCCCTCCAGAACTGTGCTGTGCCCTAAATGGTGTAATAAGTGGGTCCAGCAAGGCTTCTGGCTCAGAACCGGAGCTGCGTTTGGCTGCTCATAAAACATGTGTTTCTGGAGCTGAAATTCTGGTCACAAAAGCCCAACTCGGAATTTGAATAATCGTAGCTCAGTTTCCTGCAGCAGCCGTGTGCCCTTGTGATGGTGGAAACCAATGTTTTTCCAGCCAATGGTCAGGGTGGGAGGGTGGTGGGATCAGATAACTGGGCCCAAGGAAGATTAAAATACTTACCTGAATATAAAGCTTAGGCCATCTGACACCGCATACAACAGGCGTTATTTCCTTTTCTCTCCAGGTTTTCACCATTCCATAATTTTAGTTATAAACAGGGATAGAAATCATCATTTATATCAGGCTCTCATTAAGACGCAATTATTTTGAATTCCTGTGCCTCAGTTTTGGCATATCAGAGGAAGAAGTCAAGGTGCAGGATTAAGAAGTACTCCAGCATTTCCAAAGCAGTTTAGTCAGAAAATCAGTAAGTGTTTACCAAGAAAGAATTCAGCACAGCGGGCCCAGGGTTGACTAGCTCTATTAGCTGTGTGATCTAGGCAAGTTCCTTCACCTCTCTATGCCTCAGAACACTCATGTTAAAACTAGAATAATAATAGTACTTTTCTCCTTGTGTTGTTTTGTTAGGATTAAATGAAATGCATTAAGGTTTAGTGTGTGGTACGGACTAAGGCATCAGTAAAAACCGTGGTGGTGGTTGATATTATTACTCCCAGGGTGATATTGATCTTAGTGATTCTGTGAGACATTTACTGATCACCTCCTCTATCAATTGCTCTGTCACAGATTTGAATAAGACACAGTCCTTCCCTCTAAGCACTTCAGCTGGGGGAGGTAGAATGGCCAGGGAGGCAGGGCCTGGTGAGGAGTCGGATCTGAGTACTCAAAGGTGTTATGTTGATGAAGCCTGATTGAGAAGGTTGCATTATTTGAGAGGAGCAGGTTTTCTAAAAAGGCTTCATAGTCAGGAAAGACATCTAGAATGGATTCAAAAGCTTTAGGGAAACATTACGGATCCCCAACAACAAAAAGTTCCCTGAAAAAGGTTCCCTCATTTATAAAATGAGGATAATAACTAAACCCATCTCACAGGGTTATTATCAGCGTTAGTAGGTGAACATTTGGAAGGCCTCTAAAACAGGGTCTGATGTTCCATGAGCTTCATAGAAGAGTTAGCTACTATTATGGTGATTTCCCAACACCTAAAGCAGTGCTTGACACATAAGAGACCCTCAATAAATGTTTAAATGGGTGAATGAATAAGTAAATGGGGCAATGAATGTCACAGTGGAAAAAGCTCTGAACTAGACCTTAATTCTAATTCCACCACCAGTAGCTAGCTGGTGGGTAAATCAATTCACCTCTCTTGGCCTTTAGTTTTCCCATCTGTCAATGAGGGGTCTGTACTTGATGGTTGCCAAGGTTACTTCCAATGCTAAAATCCCATTGTTCTTAAAAGTAATTAGAGGGTATGAAGAAAATAGAGAAATCCATGATTTATATGTTCCCTAGTGTCAGAGATTGAGGTAAATAATGATATCACTAGCAAAGACAGAAAGTTTGGAAAGGGAGCA